GTGACCAACTATCCCAGTGTGCCCAGGACTAAGAGGGTTCCTGGCATATGGGACTTGCACTTTCAAACAGAGACAATTCGTTAAATCAGGAGTCACTTACTCGATGGTGACGTGTGAATTACATCTCTAAAAGTGGCTGCCTATGTTAAAGACTGAGGGCTGCGAGTTCTCCCGGCACCCTTTGGGTCATCTTAAGCCTCTGACTTCAAGCGTGTGGGGCAGGTGAGGTAGAGCAAGTGAGAGCAATGGGTTTGCACCCACAGCACTAAAGTAGCTCCACACCTCCATCCAGCCCATCCCCCCAATTCCCAGACCTGAACCCATGCTTCCCTCGGTAAAGTAAGAGCTTCTCACACTGTCCAGGCATGCTATTCCCCAGCGCTCCTTCTACCTGGCCCCTGGTATCAAGTAGAAAAGCTAAGACTTAGGCTGTGGTAGCTGCGGTTGGTTACCTCCCAACAGCCAACCTCACTATTGGAACCTTGATTTTGTTCAGATCATGGGTAACTGAGGTGCCCAGCCCTAGAGAGTTGTGGCAATTGCTTTCCTCTCGGCTCATGATTGGTTTAGGGCAGTGGTCGGCAAACTGCGGCTCGCGAGCCACATGCGGCTCTTTGGCCCCTTGAGGGTGGCTCTTCCACAAAATACCACATGCGGGCGCACACGTACAGTGTGATTGAAACTTCGTGGCCCATGCACAGAAGTCGGTATTTTGTGGAAGAGCCACATGTGGCTCGCGAGCCGCAGTTTGCCGACCACTGGTTTAGGGTGAACAAGCTGGCCAGGTCTGGCCAAGGTGTCAAAGAAAATCTACTGGGGGGAATTCTGCAAAAGGGTTTAGGTCTGCCACTCCTTTTCTGCTTTGGAAGTCGCCCGAGCAAGGACACAAGTTTGGAACTCCTGCAGCCATCATCATGTGACCATTAGGGGACGCGGTGAGGGGGGAAGGAAAGAAGATGGGAGAGATGCCAACTCAGGGCCATGTCATTGTTGAACTACTGAACCAACCCTCTACTTCAGGTGTCTGATTATGTGAAAAGGTACACTCCTCAAAGAAGCCAGCGTGGCCTGTGGCTTGCAGCGAAGAGCCCCGGGTAGAGGAGGAGAACACTTGAAGCTCTCGCAGAGAAACCCACGGGGAGACGCCTAGCTCCAGGGAGGACACCTGTCTAACCCAACCTGGACAGATGTGCACCTGACTCCCCAAGTCAGGAAATTCACCAGCTTCCTGCCTCTTCCTCCTGCACTTCCTCCTCACGACCACTACAGGATGACTCACCTCCTTGGAACTGGAGGGCCTTGGGGTCACCCCCACGGGACCTTGAAGCAAAGAGGGCCAGCCCATCACACCAAGTCCCTTCCTTTGGAGTGGGTGGTGGTCGAGGGAGGGAGCTCTGGAGTCTGGCTGTGTAAGGCAAGTTATTTAACCTTCCCAGGCCTCAGTTCCTTCATCTGTCATGGGGACAATAGTGCCTAGCTCACAGGTTATTGTGAGGAGAGTAAGGATGGAAGGTCGGATGCATCTGGCACTGCCTCACAGGCTCCCAGGACCACCCTTTGGGGCATCTTAAGCTTCTCACAGTCTAAGAAAAGCTGTGATAGGCATGATTATTTTATTACAGCTGAAGGATGCAGCTTAAGATCAGCAAAAGGCAAAAGCAGCACAGGGCAGGGTCCAGCAGAGACCAGGCACAAGCTGCCAGGTGTCCTCTCCCAGTGGAATTGTGGGGAAAATTGATCAATTTTTCCAGCAACAACATGTAGCAACACATTGTACTGTCAACCGGGGAAGCCCACCTGGGTCTTGGTGTCCAGGGTTTTATTGGTGGTTCATAACTGGGCAGAGAGCACCTCCATGGCTGACCTTAGCTCCTCAATCTCCACTCCTCCGAAAGTCAAACTGATACAGCCTGGCCCAGGGTCCCCACCATAAATCACATTATTAGCAGAAACGACCTGGCTTGGCCCAAGGCCCCTGGTAAACGAAGACACTCTTATCAGGCAGCTCATTGCAAGGGCTTGGAGGCTATCTCCCAGGAGTTGGTCCGGAGCCAGACTTTTCTTTGAAATGTGCAAGATTTGAACATCCCACACTTGCTGAGTCAACCCTTTGCCGCACAGACACATAAGACGCACCCAGTGCTATTTTTGTTTCTTACATGGGGCTGAAATCTGCCGCCCGCCGGCATCCATCCTTGGTTGCTAGTACTACCCGAGAGAAGTATCTGGCTTCAGTCTAACCCTTTCTCCTCATCGTTGGGGGTGGACCCTCCTGGCCCATTCCTTCCATGACGGAGGGACCTCCACTCAGACAGCATCATGGGTCCTCCTTCCCCTCACTCCTGCCCCAGGGAAGGGGAGTGACTTTCTGATGAGGGGATTTGGAAGAAAGATCAGCTCTTGCACAGCCCACCCCATCCTCTCTCTCGAGCTGCCCCTCAGTAGAGAGGTCACACTGCCTGGCTTGCAGGGGCAGCTCCATCACGGCCGGCGCCTGTGCCTGGGGACTGCATCCGGCTCAGGCATGCGGTCTTAGCAAGCCCACGCAGCTCGCAGATTCTGAACCCCTTCTCAAGCAGCTTCGCTAGCCATCACGGTAGTATTTTGTTGTCCTTTGCCTGGTGCTTGTGTCTGTCCTTCAGCTGGCTCCTCATGGAGGCAGGGAAAAGAAGGGCAACATTTATTAGTCCCTCAAACCCCTAACACAACCAGGTCTTCCCGGGTTTGGAAGGTCATGATCCGGTCTCCCCCCAAACATCTCTGCCAAGGTCCCCAGGTCCTTCACTCATGCCCCCTCCTCAGCGTCCCCTGGCTTGCCCTGTCGTCTGGGGCACACTCCAGGCTGTAGGACCCTCTAAAGCAGTGGTTCTCAACCTTGGCTGCACATTAGAATCACCTGGGAATCTTTTTAAAATCCTGATTTCTGAGGCCCAGATTTAAAATCAGGATTTTAAAAAGGTTCCCAGGTGATTCTAATGTGCAGCCAAGGTTGAGAACCACTGCTCTAAAACATTGGTCCAGAACTAAGCACAGACACTCCAGGCATGGCCTGGGAGCACCAATCACAGGGCAGCAACTCTCAGCCTCTTCTCAGAGGCTGAGCAGTCATTCCATGCTGAGCCTGCAGGAGACACAATCCTTTCCCGGTGATTTAACTAAGCCGCTTTTATAGTTGGCCAATTAAGTGCTCCTTCTCAGATACATTTGTAAACACATTCACAGGCATCCCCTACAAGGGTATAGGAACCACACACACACACTGATCCTCCTCCCAGAGCTCACCTCACCAATTCGCTATGCTCCTATTTTATCTACCCAAGAAATATGTAGCAGATATTCATAAGGCTCCCCAAAACCCTACATCATGGTAAAGAGCACAGCCTCTGAAGTTAGACATTCCTAGGTTCAAATCACAGCTCTACCACTTATTAGCTGTGTGATCTTGGTCAAGTTGCTTAGCCTCTCTGAGCTTTTGTTTTCTCAGAATCCTAAAGTGAAGTTATAATAGTACCAACCTTTAAAGGGCCAAGCCTGATGCCTAGAATATATCATATTCTTGATAACTCTAACCTAGCAGTAATAGCAGCAGCAGCATTACTAGTATTAACATTATTATTATTACCACTTCAGCTAAACCTTCCAAAGTAGAAACGGCCTGAAGTTAGAATAGGGATGCAGCCCTTCAAGGGAGATGGTAATGGATGAATACGAAGGGCCACAGGGTCCTTTTGAGATGTTCAGCGGGGAGGGGGGGTGGTTTCCAGGTGTTCAAAGCTTGTTTGGAGAGATTCTATGAAAGGAAGTAGGGCGAATGGGCCTGACCTAGACTTCAGAGGAGATGGCGCGGCTGTGAGTCCTGAGCTAGAAGGACAGAGGCCCGCCTGCTTGGGTGCTGACTCTGGCCTCTAGGCACCTCGCTTCCGTTGCTGCAGGGAGATTCCCTGCCCTCCGGCAGTGTTTGGGGGGCCAAGGAGAGGATATGTGACTCAGTGAAACAGAAAGGCCCGTTGGAAATAAAGGCACAGTGGCAGCTAAGGAACCCTGGCCCCAAGCCACCTATGTGACAGTCTCAACCCTCTGTGAACAGCCCGATGTGGTTGTTTCCACAGGGGCAGCCAAATGGCAAGGGAGCACGGGTGACTTGGACTTGGACCTCGGTCCTGTACTTGCTGACATGGAGACATGGAGACCCCTGTAAAGGATGGACCCTCCCGGGGTCAGCTTTTCCCAACAGGGAGACAACACCTGCTTCCGAAGGTGCCTGTGGAAGTGGAGGGTGTTTTGGCGTTGCCTGGGAAATGTACACAAACGATTCCTGCTCCACAGGTCAAAGGTGAAAACCAGTTTCACTCTTCATAGTGCCACCTTACAGGTGTCCCACCACCCGTGGGCTGAGCTCATCTGACTCCAGCCCCTGGAGCCCCAAAAAGCTCTGTGAGTCCGATCGGCCAGTCTGCAGACTAACTAGAGGGGAGATAGATAGAGGTGGGCAAAGCCAGCGAGGATGTGACAGCCTAACAGTGAAAGCGGAAGAAAAGCCAGCTGGGCGAGGATAAGAGCTGCAAAAGTAAAGCAATCGGAGGCCATTTAGTGCCTGGGCGAGCGAGGGACCCCTCCCAGGAGACCGTGCATTAAGTAACAAGTCATGAAGAAAGGAAAGTCTGTTCAACACAATCCATTTAAGAAGATTAAAAACAAACATGTTATACATCGGAGCAATATTACCATTGCAAACAGGAAAACAGTTAGAAGGTGGAAACCACAGGCGTCTAAAGGACCTATATTGGGGCGCCTCCTCCTCTGATGATGCGGGACAAATGGAGCTCCACGGAAAGAACATACCGGGGTCCTTTGGCCTCTGAGCAAGGTATTATTTAGGTAGAAGGAAAGCAACAAAAATGGGGGAAGGGGAGCCAATGGATAAGGACTTAGGGTTTGTCCTTTCGTTTAAAAAATCTTCTACTCCTCGGCTAGAAGCACAGCTCCTACTTGGGGAGGCCTCAGTTTGCCTGGATCTTCTTGGGGAGGCCCAGCGCCTCGCGGCTCCTGCCCAACAGCATGCCCTCCAGCCGCTGGCAGTGCTCCCGGAGCTGCTTCTCGCGGGGCAGCAGGAAGGTGAGGACCTTGTTTCGCACGATGCCCCGGTCCTCCTCCTCCCTCAGTCGCTGCTTCACGCGGGCCGCCTGTTCCTCCTGCTGCACCAGGGCCCCGTTCATCTCACAGAAGGCGTCTTCCAGGTAATGGATGGCCTTCAGGGCCTCGTTCTTAAAGTCCTCCAGCTCCCGCTGTACCGCAGCCACCTTCTGCTGCAGGACCTCCAAGTCAGCTGACGGCAGGAGGCCAGAGGGCCACGACTGGGGGAGGGAAAAGTCCCCAGACTGGAGGCCGCTCTCCACCATCTTCTTCCCTTGTACAGTATTCACCTTCATGAGAATGGGCCCCGCCTGATAGAGTGGTTCCATAGTCTTCCCGTTTGGACAAAGAGAGGGAGCTAAAAGACCTGCCAAGTCAGTGAAGTTTTGGGAGGTGGGGTGGGGCGGGGGACGCTAGAGACAAGACACACGATCATTTGAAGTGGAGAAACCCACGTATTGTGACATCAGGGCCCCTTCAGCCAATCAGGAGGCAAAGCCACAATCCATTCATTTGCATATTATAGTTCCATTGGTTGGTTAACCAGAGCTTTGTGTGCTCATCCACCCAAGAGGTATTTAGTTGTCCCTCCTGAGATACGGGTTCTGATGAGCTCATCACCCTTCCAGAACCAGAGTTTAATCTCTCCCTTAACCTCAGAGACAGACCGAGGCCCAGAGCAGGGAAGTAAACCAGCCAAGGCAAAGCGGGCCAGGCCAGGCGCACTGGCTGCCAAGGCTGGGTGGTCTCCCACACCAGGAGGGGCCTAGAGGGTCTCAGAATGGTCTCTAGGCTTCAGTGCCTCATCAGTGAAACAAGCGCATCGTAAGAGATAATACCTAATCCGCTTCTAGCTCCAAAATGCTATAAAAAGGTAATTTCTGATTCCAATCCATACTCCTATAATGATATCAGAATTTTAGATAATGTTAGAAGCGACGAGAAATGCACTGAGGTTTGATGTATGGTCCACAGCAGTGTTGACTTGGGATGTGCAGGGTGAAAACGGGTCACATTCACTTATTCTGCAGGTACTCACTGAGTGCTCACTCTGCACCAGGACCAGGGCGCAAGGGTGGCGAGCGGGATAGTCCCACTCCCGGCCCTGCAGGGTCATTGCCCGAGTGCCAGCAGAGATGAGAAAAGAATGTAGAGGGGTGAATCGCACATGTCCTATCTGATTACTCTAAGAAAGGAAATGTTTCTAGCTGACCTACGTTTGGTTTCGTCAAGAACAAACCTCTGTCTTGCTCATCTCAATCTCTTGCCCAGATTTCTCTTCTGGTCTCCAAATCTAAACATCTCTCCAATGTGCCTCAAATGCGATCCAAAGCTGAACTGGTTATCATTTCGTTCAAACTGGTTGCCGTCTGGATAAGGACACCAGCCCGGGGCAGCACCCACGCCAGCATCCATGTGACAAGCCTGGGATCAATGTAGACCCCTCCACATCCAAGTGGCTCTGAGTCCTTTTGATGCCACCATCTCTGAGCACGCTAGTATCGTACCACCTGGGTTGGGGTGCAGCTCCACCACCTACAGCTGTGTCTCTTACCTTCCTGAGTCTCAGTTTCCTTATTTATACAGTCTGAACACTAATTCAATGGTGTGCAGGTCCCTAGGGGGAAAGAAAAGAAACAATAGCTCTGATTTATAGCTGTTGCCAATTTCCATAGTGTAAATATTCCCACCGTGGCTGATTTCAGGCTACCAACAGGATGTCTCTGGGAAGAGATACGCTCAATTGGCCCTCATGAACCTGAATGAGCCAACTCTGCAACCACAGGGCCCATGATGAGGGCAGCTGCCTTCCCCCACATGCAGATTGGCCTACCTAGCCTCTAGGTCCTAGAGTGCCTGCAGTGGGCATCAGAGAGGGCACTTTGCAGGGAAGTTCATGGCTAACCTAAGGTGTAATTTTGAATCTCAAGATGGGATAGCGAACCCAAATACTGAAACAGAATGTTTGGTGGAAAGAGCACTGTTCTAGGAGTCAGAAGATCTGATGTCTGGAATTGCCATGTGACCACAGGTGAGCCACCTCCCTTGTCTTGAGCCTATTCTCTCTGCTGTAATGTGAGAAAGTGGGAGGCAACTTCCCTGAGGTCTCTGTTGTTCTAAGAACCATACGGTCCTTCCTTTAAACCTCTCCCCGGGCACTTATCGCCTTCTCCCTCTTTTTGTGACCTAGGACCCGTCCTTCCAGGCCCCCCTGTAAGTTACATGGGGGCAGGGACTGCGCATCTCTCATCCTACGTACCCCCAGTGTCCTGCCTGGTGCCCTACCCGTAGGGCACTTAGAAAACAAGATGAAACAGAGGTTGTATTCATAGGTAGCTCTCAAATCCAGGGGCTCCCCTGGCTTTCCTTCTGATGTGATGACACCTACTGGTCTGTGTGGAAACAGCACCCTCTTGATTCCGAGACCTGAGATCCACAGGGGAACTGGGAAGATGATGTAAACAGCCTGCAGTCCTGTGGTGTATTATTAGGGGTGTGCAGGTCCAGCCCATAATAGGTTCCCAATAAATATGTTTTTGAATCAGCAAAAGAAAAAATGTGTCTCCGTCTTGTGGTTTATCTCATTCTTTGAGAGTCTCTCTCTCTCTCTCTCTCTCTCTCTCTCTCTCTCTCTCTCTCTCTCCATTTATTCTCAGCCTCTTTATCTCTCTCCCACAGAGAATGCTGGAAGTCAGAACCAGAGCTATGAAAGACAAGTAGCAAAAGTTAAAAAGGAATAGCAGTTCCTCAATTTCCCCGGTGCTTTTTAAAAATATATATATTATTATTATTGATTTTTTACAGAGAGGAAGGGAGAGGGATAGAGAGTTAGAAACATCGATCAGCTGCCTCCTGCACACCCCCCATTGGGGATGTGCCCGCAACCAAGGTACATGCCCTTGACCGGAATCGAACCTGGGACCCTTCAGTCCTCAGTCTGATGCTCTATCCACTGAGCCAAACCAGTTAGGGCTCCCTGATGCTTTTTAATGCGGTTTCAGTTCATTTCTCCTCAGAGCCACGGGGAGGACCGCGTTCCCCCTGAGCCTCTGTCAGCGGAGGAGCCAGGCTGGGCAGCTCCCGAACCTTGTGGGCGCCTCAGCAGGGGCAACTCGCCACTGGGCACGTGCTCTGCATGTCCACCTCCTAGAAGCTTCACAGTCCAGGCCTGTGCCTTCCTCACAAATTCCCTTCCATGGAACCCAGGAAAGAGCACGTCTGTTTGTTTGTGCTCTTCAAGGTGTCAAGAGAAAGGGATGCTGACATCTCCTGGCCGGCACCTGTCAGGAGGGTTTCTCTGTCCCTGGTCTATTCCCACAGTCCACAGGCCCCCTGTGTCTCAGGATAATGGGGGAGCAAGAAGAGCTATCAACCCCACAGAGATCCAGATCCCCCCCCTGAGAATCAGACCCCACCTGAGTGGGAAGGGTCCCGGGTTGGGGACACTCCTGCCCACATGGATCAGCACCCCTCCCAGGCCCATGCTGCCTCTGCATGTGAAGAAAAGGACACGCCATATGTGCACTCCTTCATGTGCCTCTTTAAAAGCGAGGGGAACCCTCGAAAGCTCCTCACCTCCCGTTTAGAATCACATTCACGGTCCTACGTCTAAGCCAAGTACTGGCCCGGGGGCTGGAGCTCCCATAGTCGGCTCTGACTCATCACGGGCCCTCCTGGGGCCAGGCCAGGCCTCCCCGAAGCACAGGCCTCCCCATGCAAGGACCAACTTGGGGTGCTTTTCCCAAGCAAGAAAGGGGAGGATAGACAACCGGCTGTGGCTTCTACAAAGTGTAGTTGTATCGGGAGAGAAAACACATGAAGGAACCAAGCTCACGCTCCAAAAATGAGCTGCTCATGTCAGCTTCCAAGCAGAGTCTTCTAGGAATCCCTTAAAACCAGTCCATCTGCCTCCACAGCCAAGAAAAGAACTATGAAAAGAACCTAAAAGTTCAGAGCAATCTCTCAGCAACACCAAAGAGTGTGTGGTTGGCTATTTCCAAAGCAGAGAAGGCAGTAGTTGGCCCTCCGCAGCATACTACTGTCTTCCCAGAATCCCCCGGGCCTGGGTCTGGGCCTGGGCCTCCCCAGGTGGCTGCTGGCCTGGGAGAGGATGCTCCACAGCCTGTGGCTCCCCAGATGTGCCCCTACCAACAAGAGCAATCTGGACACACGGCATCTTAAAATCCAAGCGCAGAGAGGGCTCCCTCCAGCCTTCACTCACCCATCCATCCAGTCGCATATTCAAGGGCATTGACTGAGCGTCTACCCTGTGCACACTGAGCTGGGCAACGGATTTAAGAGAGCAAACAAGAGAGAGGACCCCTGTTCTCAAGCCGCTGGCATTTCAGCAGAAGGAGACAGACAAAAAAGTGGAGCAATCAGCAAAGAAGGTGGCTGGGGCTGGTCTAAGTGCTCTGAAGGGAGTAAACAGGACAAGGTGATGGAGAGCCCGGGGCGGGAGGGGCACTCAGGGAAGGCCTTGTGAGGGGAGGGCACTTGGGGTGAGTCGGAACGATGAAGATACCTGGGAACAGCAAGTGGAGAGGCCTTGAGGCAGGAACAGGCCCAGAAGGAGGAAGGGAGGGGAAGGTACAGGGCCTGAGCCGTGGGGGACCTGGGATGGCATCCCCTGTGAATGCCCAGTGCCCTGTCAAGGGCGCCTCTAGCTGTATGAGACTTCCAGCTCTGCAGCTGGTTTTCCAGTCTGGGGAATGGGGACAAGGCTGGGGTGCAAGTGGGGACCAGGACCAAGAACCCAACTCGGTGCTGTTCAGCATGATTAATTAACCCAGAGCCTGGCCCAGGCACGGCGCTAAAAATACCTGCTTCCCGCCGCGGTGCGGCAGCTGCCACCCAGCAACTTTTCCCCGTCGCCATTTATCATAATTTGACACTGATAAGGAGTGTCCATGGAGCCGTGTGTCTGCAAGAATAGGACTCATCCGCAGCCCGCCAGCCAGCTGGCTTGTGGGAACCAGCCGTGGCGGTTCCCTACCTGAGCCCTCTCCCATCCCGGAGCCCCGCCTTGGCCACCCCTCGATGTGCCTGCCACCAGCCCCCCGCCCGTGGCTGGCCTCCCCTCCTGGAACGCTAGTGGGCCCGCCTGCAGGGTGCGAGCCAAAGCTTTCTGGAGAGCAGGGGCGCATGGTCGGATGCCATGTTTCACACCACTGCCACCCCGCAACTCGGCCGAGCGCCATCCACCAGAGGCCCTGCCAGCCAGGGCGGCACTTTAATTAAAATATGTAAAACATGCTGGGGGGAGTGGATCTGAAGACACAGGAGCGGTCCTTGGACACGAGCGGTACAGGCAGCCCCACCAGTGGGC